TGATGTATACACTGGGGCACTTTCTGACATTGGGATTCTGCACATCCCATTAAAAGCATTCAATCTCAGCTAATCTATTATTGTAAATCATAAGTAAATACAATAAAACCTTCCTACTGAATGCTACAGGGGAGGAAGAATAGTTTTGATTTTATGATAATGTTCATTAGCAAGCATCTGATGACGGAGGCAGTATGACCTCTGAAACGTTGGTTAACATCGACCAGACTACACAGCGCAACAACCCAGAAGACAGAAATCTTCATACTCACCGCTGTGAAAACCTCAAATCTTACATATTCATGGCATTGTCTACAAATAACTGAATAATGAAGTTGAACAATGATTTGTTGCTATGAACACTGCTGCAGTGATACCAACACGACATAACATCACTTCTGCCAAATTATATACGAGACTGAGAGGTTAGATGAGGTTCAAATGATTTATGTAAGGAGTAGCTGCTTACTTACAGAAAATCTTAACTACTGTATTTCAGGCAACTAAGGAAAACATGATTTTCCACGTAGAGTGTTCAGAATTTAGATCCCAGAAAAACGCTAGAGGCATGTCAATGTAGATGGTCTGTTTTGTTGTTCTTGATAAACCAGAATTAACAACTAAAGAGCAACGGTTTCTGCCAATACACAAGACCTGGAAAAGTATCGGATCATAATTCACTTTTATTCAAAATGCAGCGTTAACAACATTCACGTTGCCCACACTCTGTGTCCATATTTTCCTTCTGGCTAAAATGTTAATAGGTATTATTAAGAGGAAAAACTGTACCTTCGGCTGTACTATAGCTGTTAGGAAAAGACTTGTCAATTCTTTCTCTCATAAAGATCCACTGATTGTCTTGGAATTTGCATTCTACAATCTTGTTGTTGAGCTCTTTTAGTGTCTTATTCACCTTCATCTTTCCAAATGGACGGTCCATTCCACCCACATACAAGAGTCCAACTGTTTTTTTTAGAATACTGAAAATATAAAAAATTGTATGAGATCTACTGTGTCCACAGCCCAATTTAAAATCCTTGTGCATTAACAATCTACATTACAGAACTGTATAGAACACTTCACATCATTTCCAACACATCTGTGGCTAACAGAAAATTCAGTAAAAATGTGATGGGAGAGGAGAAGAAGATACACGTGATATCATACACCGAAACATGTGAAAACCGTTGCACAGCATGATACACGTGATATCATACACCGAAACAGATGTGAAAACCGTTGCACAGCAAAACTACACACATGCTTACAGTAAATATTATCTGCCAAGTCCATGATGAAGGACTGGTCTAACATATTTCTTGCTATGGGACATACGAGGGGCAGTGACTTCGGCCGTCGCATTCGATTTGATGTCCTCCATGTTTGCGAAACACGTCTCCTTCAGGCCCATTTTCAGAGTAGGGAACAGCCAGAAGTCACTCGGAGCGAGATCCGGAGAGTATGGTGGTTGGGTGATGACGGGAATGCTTTTCTCGGCGAGGAATTGCTGCACAATCAGCAAGTGCTTTTCTGCGACGGCCGAACTCCGGAAGATTCCAAACGAAGCCTTCCGCCGGTGCTTCCAACACTGTCAGGATCGATGGAGCAAGTGTGTGTGTGTGTGTGTGTGTGCGCGCGCAAGGGTCCTACTTTGAAGGTGATTAGGTAAGCGTTGCCATATGTCCTACCATTACAGTGCTATACCACAATTCCGGGAACTTTTAGACTGTCCTACATATATCCAATATCAAAGATGTATGAACATGTTTCCAGAGCATAGGATTTGAATGTATATACTGTATTCATATTTTGGCCATCTCACTTGCCAAACAGTCCTCAACTTAAATAATTAATAACATCAACAGCTAAAACAGAAAGTGAACAACAAATAAAAAATAAAAACAGTACCATCTAGATGTGTAATGTGGAAGTAATGGAGCCTATGCAGAGTAATATCTGAAGCATGTTCTGCGCTACTTTCAGTTGATCTTATTTAAAATGCAAACAGGCTGACATATCAAAATGTGTGACAAAATTATTACTGTTATAAATTATGAAATAAGGCAATAAAACTTGCAATTCAACACATTAACTTTGATATCGGAAAAGTTTGAGGATCACTGTGATTTTAAAGGATGTTGATGTAAATCTTTATCTGAACTTACCCCTGTCCTTCTTCTGTTTCTATCTTCAACTTGAAATCAACAGAGTTATGACTAAGAGGTTTCCATTTCAGTACCTCAGAACAAGAACCTGGGATGTATGGCTGAAACACAGAAAAAATACAAGTTTGCAGAGCTAACCATACATACATGCATGGCCAATTATTAAAAATATTAGTTTACTTGACACTATTCATACAAGAGAAACATTTTCTCCAAATAGAAATGACTTCTCTATTACTTCTCATAACAAGATTTTATAGTTGCAATGATACTTCACAGACTTTACAGTAATATCATCTTTTAATGTTATCCTTTACACATAAAAATTTAATACACAAACTACACAGAAACTTATTTTTCTTACATTCATACTAAAAGATGAAGGGAGTGAATTATACACAGATATATGGTAATGAAATTAAAAAAGGCTTGTCCAGCACCCATAATTGTACATAAGGATTTATCATCAACAGAAATGCCATAACCAAAATTCTGAATTTGGAAACACTATTTAATTTAGTCAAGGTTCATCTTATAATTGAACAATTATTTCAAACTTTTATATTGTTATTGTTAATGATCGTACTTCCTTGGAAGGCTGGAAGATGAGTCCATCAGGTTCATGAGATAGCATTTTGCTGAATTTGTCACTTAGTAACCTTTCAGCCTGTGTGATATCCCAGAACTGTTTCAAACGCACACTAAAGGGTTCAGATGACTTGTCAATGCGTCCCTCCTTCATGGCTTGATGTCTTGGCTGCACTATTTCTTTCTAAACAGAATATAAGATCTTCAGCTATCTCAGAAATAGACAGTGACACACAACCTAACACAATATTTACTACAAATCACATCTCCAAAACAGGAATAACATACTAATTACTAATGTTTCTGTTCTTACAGTTTGTTTGAGGCTCATTAATTTGGTCTTTCAGGTATACCCTTCTTTTGGTCATGAACGTTCTACTAACTTCACATTTTGCACTGTCCATTCACTTGCCTTAGACCCCAAAACCACTGCAATTTAGCCTACTTTCATCTAGCTAATAGTTCTGAACATTCTTCATCAAACCATGGTTTATGCTGCTTATGCATGTGGTGGGGCCTGAGTACCTCAGTGATCCCAAGAGCTACTGGTAGGGCCTCCCTAGCCGGATTGGTCGAGGGGGAGAGGTCAGACTAAGACAGGTACCCTGGTCCTCCAGGTTGGGGGTTGGTCGCAAGGCTAACAACCTTGCACCGTAAAAAAGAAGATGTTTCGAAACCTCAATCAAGTCCTCGGACAGACGGACCTAACAGAGGACTGAATGGAAGAGGAGAATTGAGGCCATGGACCGAATACGGACCGGAGAGCCATAGAAGAAGAAGAAGAAGCATGTGACAGCCTAGATTTGATTTCACTAAAATTCTGCCATTCTCTCTAATACCTTTCCAAGTCCTATGGGTGTCCACATTATCATCCAAATTTCCTGAAGCTGGAAACATGTCAAGATTTTCACCTGGCACTGTTCCTTAAATTCTGCATCATTCACCTTCTTGAGATATTTTCCCTCATCTCTACCCCAAAAATACATACACATATTCTTTACAACTTCTTCTATAACACACCATTCACAAGTGATGGACAGGCACATTATAATTATAGATTTCATCTCATCACTATTTCATATAACACTAACCCACATTTTTTATTAAGTTCAAAACACCACTAGTTCATAATAACATATTCTCTACATTCTAAGAATTCAGTAACAAATAAATAACAAAATGCAACTGGAACGTACCTCAATACATGCAAGCCTTACTGGATAAAATGCAGATCTGCCAACATCACAACCATCAAACTTGATAATATCATAGGCCAAATATCGAGGAATGTCTTGTCCATTCACCTTATCTATAACCATTTCCTTAAATAAAAGTAAATTTTATTTAGACTTACTTCCTCTATACATATTATAAATATCATCTTAGTTTCATCGTGTAACCATTTCTGGTATCAGTGGATCTATACCCTTTGCTCCGAAACTCTTTTACTAGACATGACTAACCATGAACAAGGCAGTGCTGGAGTAAAGATGATTCTGACGACAGACTCTTCATATCCAGAATATCCCATGCAGGCAGCATACAAGCAGTACAAGTTATGTACAGAAGCAATTTTTATTTATTCCAATTTATACTGTTATTAGGAAAGTGGAAAAACTATAATTAACTAATAGTGTAGTAGCAGAACCTGATGATTCAATGCTGCTAATACCAAAGCCCACCACAAGGCAAGTGCCTGAACCAATTTTACTCTAAGACCCTCTTAATATTCCCAATTAATTTTCTTCTCAGTCTTCAAATTGTTTTCCTAAGAGATTTCCCCCCCATAAAAACACTTTATAGATTCCTTGTTTTCCACATTTTAGCCACGTGCCCAGGCAATTACAGTCTATCAGTTTTCATTATCCTAACAATAACGGAAAACCTATATAAATAAAAAAGTTCATTATGTATTATCCTAAAATGCTGACTTCATCCTTCTGAGGTCTGAATATTATCCTGAGCAATTTGTTTTCAAACACGTTTACTTGTTTTGTTATCCTAAGCTACAACATTTTGGCATGTAAATGAGATAAAAAGTTCCCCTCTTTTTATAAATGTGTCTACATTACCCCATCCAGAAGGGTGTTGACTAAATGTCTCTTGAAATCTTTTCTGTGTGGAAACTTCAATCCAGATACTTGGAACACACTGTTGTCTCGGTCAATAAAGTATATTTCATTCTCCTGTAGAATTAGCATCATGTACCTGTAAGCAAAGTCTGTCTCAGACTTATGACAACTAAGTACTTTACTCCATGGAGCAGAATCCTTCTTAAGAAGTTTATAGCTTAATATTTAAAAAATTGCCCCGTGCCATAGCCGCACGGTCTGAGGCATCATGCTTTGGACCGGCGATACGGAATGCGCGCTGGTTCGAGTCTCGGGGGAGAAGAAATTTTCTCATGAGATTTTCGACCAGTGTATGGGACCGGTGTCAATCCAGCATCGTGAGGAAATTGGGGAGCTACAATGAGTAGCGTAATCCCGTCAGGAAAGCTAGCAATGGCTGGGGGTTTGTCGTGCTGACCACACGTCACCCTATATCTGGTTGGATGATCGTTCACCTCTGCTTAGGCATGTGAACGTGAGGCTAGCAGTCAAGCTAGTCGGCTTTGGCTCTCTGGAGCTGTTATGCCACAGATTTTTTAACAAAAGTTATATGCTCTCACAATTTTAAGATAAAAGCACAGAAATTTAATGCTGAAACCACGGAGGAATACATATCACATAGCCTAGTACCTGACCAGAACAATGCTGACAAAAGCTGGAGATCTTAATGACAGCTATAATTCATGTCACACAATTTTTGAAACAAGATCACTTTCTGAGGAAACTGATATAGTCTGAAGATTTGTCTTCTGGGTTGTTGCGCTGTGTAGTCTGGGAGATGTTTACCAACGTTTCAGAGGTCATACTGCCTCCGTCATCAGGGCTGATGCAGGCAGAGACAGTATGACCTCTGAAATGTTGGTTAGCATCGACCAGACTACACAGCGCAACAACCCAGGAGACAGAAATCTTTATACTCACCGCTGTGAAAACCTCAAATCTTACATGATATAGTCTGGACTGAGCTTAACGTAAAGTAGGAGTTGGACTGAGAAGAACAAATATGAAAATTAGCAAACAACGTTTACCATATTTCACTAAAATCTGTCAAGGAGTTTCAAAGGATATACAGACATGTCATCTCCTTTTTAGTCCCTTCTGTGTGAGTGTGTGTGGTGGGAGGAAATAAAAATAAGAAGGAATAATAGCATAAATTTACCTTGTGCCATCAGCTTTCCATGAAACTCTGTATGGCTTCACACCCAACAAACTGATATTCTTTGTGTCCATAGACACAGGCTGGCAGCCAGGAAATCCATTGCTGTAAGTATGAAGAATCTTCCTGTGATTAGCATTTACTTACACACTTATATCTCATTATCAATGTCTAAGTATGTTTAATCCTTTTACTGTTATGGGCAAAGCAGTTCCTTCCTGCACCCACAACCGTATAAAATAAAAGAATATTTACCTCTGCCAGCCACAGAAGTCCTGAACTTTCCGTTGTATATTCTGTAGCTTTGCTTGTGCAGTAATGGGAGTTGCACCAGACACGCCTTGCATAAATGTTGGATTTTTGTTCTGGTATTCTCGTCTTCGTCGCCGTCCACTGGCAATAAGATGAGCGGGTTGCAAGTAAAGTCTTTTCTTTATTACATTACTTACTTTCTAATCTTCAAACTTAAGAATAAAACATTCTGTCACCTACAGAAATATCTGCATGGTGCATATTATGTGATTATGAGCATTATAATTTTAATAAATGGGTAACGGATTAAAGATATATATCTGAAACCCTGTTTGAAACACAGTCATAGATATTATCCCTGTTTCCGTAACAAGGTGACCTAATGATATTTAAAATATTTGTGTTCATCTATAACTTACAACTAACCTGCTTCCACCTGCGCCTCCAGCAGTGTCAGTGGAGTTATTTCCATCCTTATCATCACCACCATCTCCATTACTGTCATCATATTCTGGAAAAATAGATAAATTCTGATATTGCACACAACCACATTTGGAAAGGACTTTTCCACCACTGTCGTTTTGGTTTGTACGACTTACCGTTACATCTGTGCCTGATATTTAAGTTATAACCTATATTGTCAACAAGTCCAGCGCCGTAGCTGCGCGGTCTGAGGCATCATGCTTTGGACCGGCGATACGGAATGCGCGCTGGTTCGAGTCTCGGGGGAGAAGAAATTTTCTCATGAGCTTTCGACCAGTGTATGGGACCGGTGCCAATCCAACATCGTGAGGAAATTGGGGAGCTACAATAAGTAGCGTAATCCAGTCAGGAAAGCTAACAATGGCTGGGGGTTCGTCGTGCTGACCACATGTCACCCTATATCTGGTTGGATGATCGTTCACCTCTGCTTAGGCATGTGAACGTGAGGCCAGCAGTCAAGCTAGTCGGCTTTGGCTCTCTGGAGCTGTTATGCCACGGATTTAATTAATTTAATTGTCAACAGGTAAGATGTTTGAAGATACCTCCCTACTATCTGCCTAGTGGGGCTGAGAAAAACCATGAAAAACCTCAGTCAGAAAAGTTAGTTACTAGACTGAGATTTGAAACTGGGACCTCCTGATTACAAACAGGGTGCTAACATTACAATATCATATTCTGTGGCTGTCTTAATGATATGATTTTCATACTCAGTTTCATGAACACTAAAACTGGTTTAACAGCTATAATACTGTTGACAAAAAATGAGAAAGACAAGCATTATTCTTGAAATTTCATTAAGGTACCATCAATACAATAAGCGACTCAGTCTACATGGGAAGCAACACAAACATAGTATATGGAAATCACAAAGGAAAGATTACACACTAAAATCAATGTAATATTCAGAACACTACACTATGAAAAATAAACTTCATTCCTTAACTTTTGAATGGGAAGCATTATCATATAGAGGATGCATGAATTATAAGAGTAATAACATTCTTCAAATTGATATTGTATAAATATCATTAAATACATTGTGTACCAACAACCAGAGACCCCAATGTAACAACTGCAAAGTTTAATCTAATGGACATTTGTAATCTTTTTAAATAAAAAGTATCAACAACTAATTTCTAAAAAGCTTGGACAGAAGTTGCCGCACATGAAAGCCATGTACGAATTAAATGTAAATAGCAACACTCAAGGGACCTCAAACAAAAATACAAGAAATTAATACAATAACACAATTCTACTACGTATTTATTCTTATTATTTTTATTATCAGTGGCTCTACAACCCATTTGTGGGTCTTCGCCGCCTCCTTTTCAGAGGTTTCCTAATATTTAAAGTGTGCATTTGTGAGTAGTGAGTGACCAGCCCACTGACTCTGCACAGTTTCTACTCAATCCTGATTTAACTGCCAGAGCCATCTAGCAATAAATCAGGAGAGACTTGGGTGAGAAATGGCCACTGAATTTTGCTTACAAGACATCTCGTATCATGCTCGTAAGGTTCTTTTACATGCCGTAAATCTACGACATGGGACCGCTGGCTTTACTCCCCCTCCAAAGGAAGTTGTGCTATGGATTTTT